CAGAGACAAGAATTTGCCTAATAAAGCTACAGTCCAAACTATTATGGCTGCCTTAAGGGAGAGGTAAACACAGTGTATGGGAGCAAGAGCAGGGGATAAAGATTAGGGCAGGTGAAAGCTTCAGGGAAAAGACGATATTTAAGTTGGACCTTAAAGGCAATCAAGAATTTTTTCTGCTGAAGAAAATTTCCTTGATATCAGAAGATTAAAAAAAAAAGAGTAATATGGCAAAGTATTCCAACTTTTCATTCCGAAATGTTATGTTTCTTGATTCTCCATGACAAGAGGTGTGTTTCCCACATTATAACGCGAAAAAAATGTGAACATTCATAAAAGTTGAAGAATTTTATAGGAAACAACCATGTCCATCACCTAGATTATACATTAGCATTTTACTATACTTGTTTTATCACAAAAATAAAATAGGTACAATAAAATGCCTTCTGTCTATCCATCATCCATCTTATTTTATTGATGCATTTCAAAGTAAATTGTAGATATGAATACATTTCCCCTTTAAAAACTTCAGATGTATATAATCAGCTAGAGTTCAATATTTGTCTACAGGTGTTTTTTTTTGATATAAGTTTTGCATATAGTGAAATGTACAAATCTTAAAGTGTGTATACACTGAGTTTTGACAAATGCATTCACAGAACCCAAACCCTCTCAAGATGCAGAAGAATATTCTCATCACCCTAGAAAGTTAAGCAGACAGAATTAAGCTGGCAAAAGGCAAAAGGGTTAGGACATGGACTGCATCCCTAAGCCTTGAAAAGGTACTAATAACTGACTGGGGGCAGTAGGCAGTTTAGCTTAGTTTAACTCTGGCTGAATCAAAGGCATGGAATACAAAGCAAAACATTACTGTGCTCTAATCCTTTGCAATAATACACACACTGAAGTTCTATCATCCTGGATGGCAGTGGTTCTTAAATGGGGTAGTTTTGGCCCCCAGTGGACGGTTGGCAATGTCTGGAGATGTTTTGGTTGTCATGGGGGGAAGACAGAGGCCAGGGGTGCTGCTAAGCATCCGCCAACGTACAGGACCACCCCTTACAGGAATTATCTATCTCCCAATGTTAATAGTACCTGCTGGAGATAGGGCCACTGACTGATAGGGGGAAAAATCAATAGATGTCACATACTTGAGAAAAGATAAAGGTTTATTTCACCTTTTCAAGAAAAAGGAATAATCACTATTATTGGGTAAAACAAATATAAAAAATATGCTTCCATTTTGGTGAAGTCTGGGGTGGGGACACGGGAAGAGGCAGCAGGTTCCTCTTGTCTGGAAGTAGAAGTATCTATGCGGTGCTGCATAAGCCCTTTTAGGGAGGTTGGGAGCAGTTTGTGGTAGGAAGACCAGATCTTGTCTGCCTAGCTTCCAGAATCTGTGATTTTAAGACTCGGTGAAGGGAGGGAGCAAAGAGAGATTTATAGTTCTTCCTCCTACTCTAAGAGGCTCCTTTTAAGAGTAACCAGGGCAAGGATAACCAGGTGGCCAGTGCAGTATGACCCAGTTTGAATTCGGACCAAAGGTCAATTCATGGAGCAGCTTTCCAGCTTCGTATCACATGATCTCTTCATAGCACACCCTCCAAGGATGGTATTACCTTCTGACCTGTGATTTACCAGCGTCAGGAAGAGAGCCCTTCTCAATGGTGTTGCAGGTGGTAAGTGCTTCCTCACAGATGAATTTCAGGTCTGTTCCCTCACTGGTTCCTCTAATGTTTTTATCTCTTTCTCTCTATCACATATAAGATTGAAGTCTCTAAAAAGCAGTTATCAGATTGGTTCGTGGTCCTTTTGGTGTCAGTTGCAATGATGAAGCAAGTCAAGATGATAGTTTTGCTTATACTGCAACACGCATTTAAGAATGTCTCAATACCAGTTTGAGAAGTAGCTTTGTTTAGTGATACTGCAATGGTTAATTTAACAAAAACAATTTAATAAAAATAAAAGTTCTTTCAAAGTGATCTGGGTCATTTTGCTCAAAACTTTAATTTAATTTTAGTAAGCCATAGATTATAAGTTCATAAGATACAAAAGGGTACATTCAGTGAAAAGCCTTCCACTCCTGTCCCCTTGTCCTGCGAGGAGGAACCACTGTTACCCGTTTCTTATTATCTTTTCTGAGATAGTCTGTAAGTATCAAACAAATATATGTGCATATATTCTTCCATTTTTAAAACAAATGGTAGCATATTATAAACACTGCTCTGCTCCTTGCTTTTTCACCTAATATTTTCAAAGATTGTTCCAGATCCCTATGTTAAAAAAAAAGTATTCTTTATTATAGCTGTGTAGTGTCCATTGTATGGATGCACTACTGATGGACATTTAGAAAGTTTCCAGACTTTAGCTATTACACATAGTACTGCAGTGACAACCTTAAAAAACAAGGAAGTGGAATGTGTAGGTCAAAAGGGATGGGCTTTGTGTAATTCGATGTTATCACACTTCTCTCTGGAGATTGTGACAACCAGCTCTCCCACTAGAAGGACATCATTACTTCTTCACACTCTCACCAGTGGACTATGTTATAATCTTTTTGATCTTTGCCAATTTGATAAATGAAAGTGGTTCCCAGTATAATTTTAATTTCTCTCTCTTATTATGAGTGATGTTGAAGAACCACTTGTATTTTCTTTTCTGTAAACTGTTACTTCCATGGGGTTGTTTATTCTTTTTCTTAGTGACTTGTAAGAGTTCTTTATATACTAAATAAATTTAACTCTTGTCTGTAATACATGTGTTTCCCTATCTTATTTGAAAGGTTTTAATGCTCTAAAATCATTTAAAAATTTGTCCAATAGTTTCTCTTAAAACTTTCGTGGTTTCACTTTTTGTATTTATATCTTTGATCTATTTGAAATTTTGGATCCAGTTTACTTTTTTCCAACTGGATACCTAGGTATTATAATGCTTTATTAAAGAATCCAGCTCCCCTCTGGCCCCCCACTGATTTGAAATGGTGGTCTTTTAAAAATCGTATCTATATTTCCATATGTATTTGGGTCTTTCTTGGCTTTCCATTCTGTTCTATTGATTTGTCTGATTATTCACCTGCCTGTACCACATTATTTAAATTATTATAGCTTTGTAATGTACTTTAACATTTGGTAGCTGTTAACTGATCACCTGATGGTGGTCTTCGGATTATATTTAACATATATTTTGAGCAAACTATTTGTGTATTTCCATAATACTAGATACCTTATATTCTTTCTAATATCTTCTCTATGCTGCTCCAGAGCACTGCATGCTGTTCTTTAGGGCTCTCTGCCTCCCAGACAAACTGAAGCTAAATTGAGTATCATCTCCTCAAGTGCTCGGGATCTTGAAATTTGATTCAGTTGCAATGGGGAGCCTACAAGACTTTTGTACAAAGGTACTCAGATTTGAGGTTATTAAGTGTACTTTCTCTCATGTGATATGGCATTGTATCTGTTTCACTGGCTGACCTCAGCCCTGATTACATGGGGTATGGAGGACTCTAAGAAAACATCACCAGATCTTGTTTTCACATGCAATCTATGAGGTGTTGCAGACCCAGTGTCACAGGGTATTGGGAAAAAGGATTCCATCTGTCAGCAAGACCATGTTGGCTCAGCAGACATCAACTTTTAGGAGGCAGGCACTGGGGAGCATCAGCAGCAAGATCTCAGGGGCTTCTGGACTTTGTAGTCTCTGCAGCTGACATTGCTGCAGTGAACTGGAGCCCTAGCAGGAGAAGCAAGAGAGATGGGAGAGGCAACCTAGGAGTCAAGACGGATTTCCTCTGTGAATCACCTACTATTCCTTGTTCTTTTTATCAGGTTCTTCTGATTTGCAATGGGCAGGAATGACACCAGAAGTGCTCAGTAAGTGCATTTTAAATGGATGGTGAGTCAACGAAGGAGGGAGTGTGCACCTACCTGCCACAGGAATCTTCTTTCATCACTCGAGTCTTCTTTGAGGCTCTCAGATCTGGGGCGTGACTCTTGGGGTCCTGTCCAGGAGAAGAATGCTCAGTGAGTAGAAGCTGTGGACCTACATATCCTCCTCCCATCCCCTCACACACTTCCAGAGGACTCTGGGAGTTTCTGCTAGGTTTGTTTCTTGTGTTTTTCCTCATCTTTAATAGCATTCAACTGAAACATCACTGTCATTCATTACCTCTCCTTTTTCTACACCAAACCTTTGAGTAAAGCAAGTGGGAAACAAGGGAGACAGGAATCAGTACAGCTAATCATAACAGTCAACTCTTAATACAGTGCCTACTATGTGCTAGTGTCTGTCTCACATTTTTAACCTATTTAATTAAGTTAATACTTAAAAGGTAGGTGTATATTTTTTTCATGCTCACTGTGTGAGGGAATTGAGTAACAGAGAGGTTTAGTGACTTGCTCAAGGCCACGGAGCTTGCAAATAGATCAGCTGGGATTTGAACCAGGAACCCACTCTAGAGCCCATGCACTGAAACACTCTGCCTTCTCTTTGGCACGTACCTGGGTGTATTAACTTTCTTGAAACAGAACACAAAACACAGTCAAGTGCACAAATCAAATGAATTTTCACAAAGTGAGCACACCTGTGTTAACAGTGCCCACCTCAAAGAACAGAACACTACTAGCCCCCTAGGAGATCCTAACACCCCCCACTCCAGTCTCTAGCCCTTCCTAACCAAGGGAAACCACTCTCCTGACTTCTCTTACTATTCTTCTGGGGGTTTCTTCCTTGTCTTTCTATTTTAACCACACTTGTACTTCAAATATCATGGGGTCTGTTGCTAAAGTTAAAAATATTCTATTTTGCAGGAGTGGAGGTAGGAGCGGTTAAGAGAACACATTTCCTTGATGAGAGAAAATAAGTGAGGGTGGGAAAGTTAGGGGGCAGTTCTCCATTTTGCCTCATTCTCTGGCAGTAAGTGTGAGGTTCTGCTCTTTCCTGTGTCCTCCTCCCCCAGGACTACATCTCCCAGCAGGCTGTGCTCTGACAGCTCTCGGATTTAAACAGGATTCTGGGCTACGCTTAGAGCCAGGCTGTTGCTGAGCACCCAGGAGAGAGAGAAGCAGCGAGAAACAGCCAAGAGTTGGTGCCAGACCAAGAGAACCCTGAGCAAGAGTTGGAGTCGAAGTCGCTTTTGCTAAAGGAGCAGCAACTAAAGAAGTTAAAATGATGCTGCTTATCTTGGGACTGCTCACCTCCTTCCTTTCTTTCCTGTATTTGACAGCTCCAACCATCAGGTTTGTCTTAATTCAGTAACTCATTCAATAGTTTACAAAGCCTTGGATTGGGAGCCACGGAGCTTGTAAGTAGATGAGTTCTCAGCTGCTGAAAGAAGAGAAAGGGATGGAGGCCAAGGGAGAGAAAGTCAGGGCAGAACAGAGAGGAAGGAAGTCGTTATGTATACCTTGGTGGAAAATGAGAAGGAAGCACCTGGGGCTGGGAGAGGAGGGGCTGGTTTGAAGTCTGATGCTAGTAGAAGGCTGAGCGGATGGCTCTATTAAGTAGCTTGAAAGACAACTTAGGTGGGAGTCCTTGCTCTTTCACTCTATTCCCTTGGGTTCCTCTGAAGATCTCCCTTTCTCCTCTGTCCCTAGTCAAGGTGGCCCTGCTGCATTACCACAGGTGGTCATTGCTGAGGGACTCATTGTTAAGTACCAGGTATTTAGGGAAGGAAACAAACTCTTCCCTTTGAGACCACCCTCCACTAACTTTTTGGGATGGCTCGTTTGCTGTGGCATTTCTGGAGATGTCAAAGAAATGTGTGTTCTGAGTAGAGAATTTTTAAATTGCTGGTGATAAAGAAGGTTAAATGGACATATTAGGGACAGAGTGTTGTTGTAGGTCCTGTCATAGATGCCTGGGTACAAATTCCAGTTTTTCACCATTAGCAAGTGACTTGAACTTCTTGGAGCCTCAGCTTTCTCCTCTGTAACGTGGGGAAAATAACAGAGTGGTTGAGAAATTTAAAGTAAATTCCCTGTAGAAAGCACCTAGCCTAGTGCTTGGCAGTTTGATGATGCTCAGGTACTGCTGGTTTTGCCCACCACCCTCGTCCCATCCTGGTTTTGGCAACTTGTCAAGTCAACTCTGTAAAAGGATGCACTCTGCACAGGGGTCTGAACAAGGGAGGTTTTCTCTCTGTGCGCTGGTGGCTAGAATGAAATCTCTAGCAGGATGGCAGAAAGCTTCTGGCTCTCTGAAACTGGAGAGGCAGCCCAAGAGCCACAGTTGTGAGGGACCCCTGGATAGACGCTGTTCATCAGTGGCCCACCATTGATGCTCATTGAAGAGCTAGAGCTCAGGACCACTGATTTCAGTAATGCTCATCCCCTTCATGTTTTTAGTGCAGAGGAAGAAGCTGACCTCAGGGAACCTCTAGAGGTAACAGCGGTATCTTTGTTATCTAACAAGGAATGTCTCCATTAGCCCTGGCTCAAGAGCACTTAATCTGTTTGCCCAGATGATCATTTGTAGCTTCCGGGCACATGACTTTCCCACCTCAGCTGATAAGTAGGAGACGGCCTTGCCCACTGGGAAGATGTTGTCCCCTGAAGATTAGCTTCTTTAGGCCTCTTGACGGCATCGGAAAGAAATCCCTCTTTGAGGCTGGGTGGATTTTATGTATCTCAGTCCGGGACTGGAAAGGATGGTGCATAAATGTTTTGTTTCCCTTGCATATAGGAAGTTTTTTGCTGGCGGGGTTTGCAGAACAAACATGCAGCTTCCTGGGAAGGTGGTGGTGATCACTGGCGCCAACACGGGCATCGGCAAGGAGACGGCCAGAGAGCTCGCTCGCAGAGGCAAGTCCTTCACTTCCATGTCCACAGGGCAGCACCTCCTGCCTTTCTCACTGGGAGCATCTACCCACATTTCCTTGTGTTTCCTCCTGGGCTTGGAGACTCTGGTCAGGAACTCAGGGAACCTGGGATTCAAGTCCAGCTGTGATACCACTTTAGTCTGCGGCCTTAAACAAAACTTCCTTCCTTCTTGCTCCTTCCCTATTATATAAAGTAAGGATAACATGATGTCTGGATACAATATTGGTCAGTTCAGTTATTCTAAAAGGAGATACTAAGGCACATTAAATATCAGGGTGTAAAAAACCAGGGTTCCCAGGCTGGGGTTAAGCTGAGAGCAAAGAGAATCCTGAAGTGGCAATACAGCCACTCACTGCTTCAGGGATGGCTGGGGAATGCTCTGTCCTACACCAGCCCTGAGCCCACTTCCTAGGCTCTCCTTCAGCCTAGGATCTGAACACGTTGCCCTCTGTTTTGGCCCCAGGAGCCCGAGTATACATTGCCTGCCGAGATGTTCTGAAGGGGGAGTCTGCTGCCAGTGAAATCCGAGCCGATGCAAAGAACTCCCAGGTGCTGGTGCGGAAACTGGACCTATCTGATACCAAATCCATCCGAGCCTTTGCTGAGGGCTTTCTGGCAGGTAAGACCCTGGTGGGTAGCCAGGAAGGTAGGAAGCTGGGTGTGGGAGTGGCTGCTCCAGCCTGGCCCATCTCTGACTCAGGCATTAGTACCATCTTGGATCTCACAGAACAGGTTCTGCCACCTGAACCAGCAGGGCAGGGAACTGGTACAGGGATGGTGGGTGGACAGGCTGGGCAGGATCTTTATCATCTTTTTAGCTGCAGCAGTGGGAATGCTGGAGGTATCGGCTGTCTAGGCTTGTTCCTTGGCATCAAGGTGTGGCCCTGATGCCACATTCTTCTTACAGCCAAGAGTCCACCTTCTGTGGCCACAGGCACCAGAGGAGGTTGTGCTGCTGCCAAAATTCTTCTGCCTCTTAGAAAATGACCATCTTCTACCAAGGACTATGAAATCCATGGGGGGCAGGGACCACGTCTACCTGGCTTTACCACTGTATGTCCAGTGCCAAGCCTGTCTGAGTCAGTACTGAGTCCACATTTTTTGAATGAATGAATGAATGAATGGTGTCCAAGAAGATATCAGCAACTAAAATTAGAAGCCCAATAACAGTGGTTACTGACTATCACTGAGATAGGGCCAAAGGCAAGGAACAAATACTCAGGACTAAGACAAGCAACTAGCAGACTCCTTGCTGACCACAGGGTCTCCTTGGTTGTGCTCTTTAGAGGAAAAGCAGCTCCACATTCTGATCAACAATGCAGGAGTGATGATGTGTCCATATTCCAAGACAGCTGATGGCTTTGAAACCCACCTGGGAGTCAACCACCTGGGTAAGTTATCTTTGAGTGACTGAAAAGTGAGGCATACACACACCATCATGTTCTCTGTAGGGAGGTGACCCTGTACCACTGCTGAGAATCTCCACCAATCCTCACGGAGACCAAGATTCCAATGGAGATATTAATGTTGGGTTCACGATCCCTCTCCTAATCAAGACAAAAAAGAGAGGTCCTCCTACTCATACCATTAAGAACTCCCCAAACTTGGGAGATATCAGCCAGAAAGAAGAATGTCATCCTTGAATGGAACCGTGGTAGTGTAAGGCCTGCCAAGCAGGGCCGGTGTGGGGGGTGCAGGAGTCTGCGTTTGGCTGGTGGTGGTCACATCTGTAACTGAAGGCCAAGTTAAGTCAAGGGCTGGTCCATGGAGGAGGCAGACCTTGAGGATTTGAGGTATGAGAGAGGCTGGGGTTCAGAGTTCAAGGTGATGGCTGTAGCGAGTAGGTCATGGAGTATGTTCTCCAATCTGAGGCAAATGTTATTTTCCCTGATTGTTCCATCCTTCCTTGTGTACATGCCTTCAGTTGTGTGATCATGGCCAGAGGGGGATGTCGGAAGCCAGCAGTTGCTCCCAGCTGGGGTAAGGGCAGAGGTACACATAAGTACAGAGTAAGTCTATATTGCCTTACCTGCATTCTAGCTCTGGTCCTTGCCTTGAGGATTCCATTCACTCAGACCGACTGACCATTAGCACTACGTTACTCATGACATCAAAATGTTCACATCCAGAAGATAAGCTAATGCTGCAGTCCTGTCCTCAGCTCCCATCCCCTGAACACGAGCTGCCATTCCACTCTCCAGTCTCCCCTGCTGGCTCTCCTCACAGGCCACTTCCTTCTCACTCACTTGCTCCTGGAGCAGCTGAAGAAGTCCGCTCCTGCACGAGTGGTCAACTTGTCATCAGTGGTCCACCACGCTGGCAAGATTCGCTTTCACGACCTCCAGGGTGAGAAGTACTACAACCGGGGTTTTGCTTACTGCCACAGCAAGCTGGCCAATGTGCTCTTTACTCGTGAGCTGGCCAAGAGACTCCAAGGTAAGTCTGGAGAAAGGGCCAAGGGTGAGACAGCAAAAGCAGGGCCTGCAGTCCAGATCAAAGGTTCACAAAAACTTCTGAAGTCAGGATGTCAAACATGCACATTCCAGTGGTGGCTCTGTGCACTAAGGAGAACGCGTGGTCATAAATGAAATAAAAACAGGGTTTTTGCCTTGCCCTTGGGAAGCTTAAAATGGAACAGGAATCTATAAACCTTATGTTTTGTTGCATCTTATATCTACATCTCATCTGATTTTTTACAACCGTCTCTTGCAACAGGCAGAGTTGATACTGTTTTTACTATTTTATGGGTCCCATCTGAGGTCCAGAGAAGTGGCCAGCCCAAGATTATACAACAAGTGAAGGAGTGAGGACTAGAATGTGGGTGCTCTGGTTTAATTCAAGATGCTTCCCTCTGTGTGCCATTTGCTGAGGTTTACACGGTGAGCTGAGCTACAGAGCTGCTACTCACTGCCTGGGGTCAGGGAGCTGGGGCTGGATTTCAGACACGTGGGGCTGAGCTCGTGCTCTACCACGTAGTGGCCGTGTGTGTACACCAACGTGTCCCTTTACCCTCCCTTGACTTCATCCCCTCTGCTGTAAGATGAGGTGAGGCCACTCTTAATCTTAATGATACTGTGCTCCCCTGGAGTTTTCACTGAGCTGCTGGCTTTGACATCTGTGAATCTGGAGGACAGTTTGTGAATAAGCCAGAGTTTGGAAAAATGGCATTTACTAGCAGAATACAGAAAGAGGTAGGTGCTATTATTATCCCCTTCCCTACAAAGGAAGAAATAGGCATAGATATATTAAGAAATTTGCCCAAGCAAGATACATTAATTCTTAGCTGAGCCAGGATTCAAATCCAGACAGCCTAACTCAGAAGTCCACGCTCTTTACTCTAAATCAGGGTTCAGACCTTGGCGCTGCAACCTGCTGGGTTGCAGACTTCGACAATTTACTCAACCTGTATGTGCTTAGAAATGCTTCCTCAGCTGTAAACGGGCTTCTTACTTTACCTACCTCATGAACCTCTTTGAGAGTCAAATAAGATAACACATAAAGCATGTAGCACAGCTCTTTCACATAATAAGTACTGAAAACAGTGGAGGCAGCAGGGCATCCTGGGAGCATGTTAACCCTCATCATTTCCATCAACACCCCTCAATCTACACCTCATAACATGTGCTTGTCCAGCAAATGCAGTTCAAAACAAGGTAGCCGCCTACCTTCTAACCAGATGGCTACCCTCAAACCCCTCCAACAGAAATTCCAAAGATACCATTTAAGCCACAGAGTAAAGGTGACATTGAAATAGAATAGAAGGACCTTCAACCACGCATTCCTTCTGGAGCACAGGAGGCTGAGAAGGGGATGCCTCTTTCCGGAAGAGATCAGTGCATTACTAGTGAGATTCCACCTGGCTGGAAGTGGCACCTCTGAACACCGGCGATCCATAACCCGAGTCCCTTCTTCCCCCTTGTGCATTCTGCTGCAGGAGGTGAGCCGTTTCCCCGGGCTCGGAGCGTGTCTCTGGTCTAACTGTGCCCTCTCCGCCCTAGGCACTGGGGTCACCACCTACGCGGTGCACCCGGGCGTCGTCCGCTCCGAGCTGGTCCGCCACTCCTTCCTGCTGTGCCTGCTCTGGCAGCTCTTCTCCCCGTTCCTTAAGTCGGCGCGGGAGGGGGCCCAGACGAGCCTGCACTGCGCCCTGGCTGAGGGCCTGGAGCCCCTGAGCGGCAAGTACTTCAGGTGCGTGCAGGCGGCGCGCTGCCCCCGCCACCCGCGTGCGCGTGCGTGGCGAGGGCAGGCCTCCCGGGGCTCTGCTGCCCCCAGTGGCCGAGTTTGTGCCTGAATTCGGGGGCAGGTTGGGCCCGTAAACCAAATGTTGTTACTTTTCTGATGAAACTTACATTTGAAACACGGCAAGAGTTGGTTTTATGGTTCTCTTTTAAGCCCGTAAGCTACATTTCTGAGTAAGCTTTGTAGCTTTCTGAGAGCTGTTAGAGAAGACTGTCCCCGTTTGTTGTGCCCTGGAAAGAGCATTAGCCGGCCTCGAGCCCTTTTCTGTTCCTTGAAGCTTTTGGCTGACGTCCTTCATGTATTCTTTAATACCACTTAGCACAAAGCTTTGGGGCAAGGTCTCCTCTCCCCAAGTGTGAACTCTCTCTCTCAGGGCTGCCAAGATTGGAATATAAAAATAGACATTTCAGTGTTGCGATTTATCACAAACTTAATGGCCAGTTTGGGAAGAAAGGGAAGCCCTAGGATTAAATCTTCCCATTCCACGACTTGATCCAGCCCACTCTGCTCTTCTGTCCCACTTTGTTCAAGGCTGTTCATTGGTACACCCTTTATTAAG